TAAGTCTGGCTGATTTGGATTGCTTTAACCTTCTGTGTTGTTATGTACTGCATTTCTTATTTTTCTTTCATAATTATCTTTTTTTTTTATTATGTCAGGTTATCATTGATTTTAGATTATATTGTTACTTTTGCCATTTATCCATCATCTCAGACCAGAATGAATCGGGAAATTTTCCGATACTATTAAAGAGCAAATCTTGCAGCCAGATTTTTTTTCCCTTTCTGCTTGTTTATACTGTCTTTGTTTGAACAACCCTTGTTTACCCAACCTTTCACAATAACAACCTGACTAGGACTGGGCTGCCTTAAAGGGAACTCTGCTTATTACTGTTATATATCTTCTCTCACCAGCTTTATCAATATTTATCTATTAGGTTTATTGCCACTAGAACCTCCAGGTATATTCATTTATACCTGTGGGTTATTTTATTTTGTTATGTCTTATAAAAGATGTTTTTTTATTATTATTATGCTCCGGTTTCCTTCAGAAGGTAGTAAATTACCACCATCATCATCACCTTCATCACTATTGTGCCTTTATATCTATACCCCACAAGAGGGCAATGCAAAGCCAACCTTGAGCAGCTTACGGCCTGTTCGGTATTTGGACAGGAGGCCACCAGGAGATCCCAGGCCGGGATATTGAATATGACATTCTCAGAAGAAAACAACATCAAACCACTTACGTATTTCTGTCAAGAAACCTATATGGGCATGAAATCACCAAGAAGTGAACAAAACCCGAACAGGAGTAGATTTTCCATCCTCCCTTTCTTCTGCTGTTGTGACCTGTCAGCTGCCAGCAGAGCTAGTAGAAGAGTCAGATGAGGAGGAGGTTGAGGGAGGGCCTGGGCCAACTTCAGAGCCTTTGGAAGGCTCTGATAAGGAAACAGCACCAGAGACAGAGGCAAGGCCTTCCATCCACCCCCAGGTGGAGAGGCAGCTGTTTTGGGGACCTGAGCTGAGTGAGGAGGAGGAACAGATGAGGTTCATCCCAGATATGTGTATGCTTAGAGAGGAAAGGAGAGCAAAGGAAAGCAATAAGCTGGCTCTCAGGGAAAAGAAGACGTAGACCCTAGCTAGCCCCTCCCAGGCTGAGAAATAAACAGGAGGGATTTGGGAGTGGCCTGTTGTCACCGACAACCATTCGTTCATATACAGCAAACAGTTCGGATTTGTTGGCCAGAACCAGGTTTGTTGGGACTAATTACAGTTGGTTTTTGTTACTGTTGTTCCTACCCTGTTTTGAAAAGGGGGTTGTTTTACTCGCAAGTAAGCAGCCTATCATTACTTGCGAAGGCTGGGTCAGAACACACACCAGGAAAATCTTGCACCTTCTGCTCACAATGGGAAAAGGAGAGTAGTTGAGCATCACGTACCTGCCACACACACTGACTTCTATTTTCTTAGTCACAATTGTGATGAGTTTTGGGGCCTTCACCAAAAGCTCAAATTTGGGCAGAACTAAAAGGAGGAAAGGGAAGGGATGAAAATCATGAGATGAACCTTGTGGAAACACAACTGTCCAGTTCTCTCCTGTGACCTCCTTTGAGGACTAAGGAGAGGGGAGAAATTGGCCAGACAATTGAGGTCTGAAATGAAAAGTCAGTTGTAAGTAAGACAAATTCAGTTTTGGTCGTCATGATGTAAAAAAAATGTTGAGAGTCTCTCGAACGAATGCAGAAAAGATCAACAAAGATGATTAGGGGACTGGAGGCTAAAACATGAAGAACGGTTGTAGGAACTGGGTATGTCTAGTTTAATGAAAAGAAGGACTAGGGGAGACATGATAGCAGTCTTCCAATATCTCAGGGGCTTCCCCAAAGAAGAGGGAGTCAAGCTATTCTCCAAAGCACCTGAAGGCAGGACAAGAAGCAATGGGTGGAAACTAATCAAGGAGACAAGCAACTTACATCTAAGGAAAAATTTCCTGACAAAACAATTAATCAGTGGAACAATTTGTCGCCAGAAGTTGTAAGTGCTCCAACACTGGAAGTTTTTTAAAAGATATTGGATAGTCATTTATCTGAAGTGGTGTAGGGCAGGGGTGAAATTCAAAAGTTTTCCCTACCGGCTCTGTGGGTGTGGCTTGGTATAGTAATAGCAAGCAGAGGAGATTGGGGCTATTTTTTACCAATTCAAATCGTCCCTACCACCTCTCCTGAGGTGGGTCAAGGTGGTTGAATTTCACCCCTGGTGTAGGCTTTCTTGCCTAAGCAGGGGGTTGGAGGTCCCTTCCAACTCTGTTATTCTATTCTAAATTAAACCTTGCATTAAGAAAGCAGTAAACATTATGCGAGAATGAATTTAACAATTCCATTTGGACAAACTTCTAAAATGTTTGGCTTCAATCTTAGGTAATATGTTCTTGTTTTGGTGGCTTATGTTTTGCAGAAGTTCAACCCATTGAATTAGTTTCACCTGGGGGGAGGGATTGGGGGGGGGGGGGGGTTGAGTGAACCTTCAATCCCACTGTCCCAACCACTATCTTAAATTTCTGGCCCAGAGACTCCATATTCCTAAGTGATCTGTATATGATTAGCTGGTAAATCATTATCTCTAATCTCAGAAAATGGGTTAATTTAGCTGAGTAACCATATCAATGTGAAATTTGTTGGAGAAATTGAGCCTTAGAATTAAACTGAATAAACAGAATTGTAAGGTCTCTGGCCTGCTAAATCCCTCATTGCCAAATGTTTGTTTGTTTGCTTGCTTACTTACTTATCCATCCATTCATTTCCTCCTTCCTTCTTTCCTTTCTTCCCCTTCCCTCCCTCCTTCCTTTCCTCCTTCCTTTCTTCCTCCCTCCTTCCCTCCCTCTGTCCCACTCTCCTTCCTTCCTTCCTTCCTTCTTTCCCCCTTTTTCTTTCTTTTCTTCCCTCCCTTCCTCCTTTTCTTTCTTCCCCTCCTTCCCTCCTACCTTCCTTCCTTCCATTTCCATCCTGCTTTTCCCATCCTTTAAAAAATATCCTAAATATAAATATTCTAGCAGTAATGATTTTTTTAAAATCTACCAGCTCAACATGAAGAGGCATTTAAATTTTCAAACTTCAGTGTGTAGATTAAGCTGCTACAACTTTCTTGGGACAAATAAACCTTAATTCATTAAGACAGTATTATCTGGACTGTCCAAAAGAAAAGGAAGGAAGGAAAGAAGGAAAAAAGGATGGAAGAGGAAGGAAGGGAAGGAGAGAGGGAGGAAAGGAAGGACGGTTGGGGGAAGAAAGAAAAGAAGGGTAAATTGGATCTCCCCTTCTTACCATATTCGTCTACCTCAAAGCTGTAATCTGCAACTTTCTCGGAGTCGTTCTCTACCACCACTTTGTAGGTGCCCAAGCGGGGATTAGAAGACAGAGAATAGGAACGCTCGATTATGCCCAATGGAGTCTCCACATCACTCCACTGGAACACCCGGTTGTTTTTGGGATCCTGGAAAGAACAAGATAACAAGTTCAAAAGGTTGAACTTTTTCAAGTTCAACCTTTTGAACTTGAATAACCGACAATAACCGACAATTGTTCTAGAATCAGTGGTTCATGACCCAGACAACGCAATCCTACAATCCCATTCTCTGAGTGCTATTAGCAAGGTATTTAGATATGATAGCCTTCCAGAAGCCCACATATATATTAGGATTAAACTCTGCAACATCTGCACCCAGCAAGGGCAATTGCTGTGCTGGGCTGGAAATTCGGGGAGTTATGCTCCCTAATTTTCTGAAGGCCCCAAGTTTGAGATGGTGGCTCTAGGTCTTAGAGCCGTGGTGGCACAGTGGTTAGAATGCCGTACTACAGGCTACTTCTGCTGACTGCCAGCTGCCTGCAATTTGGCAGTTCAAACCTCGCTAGGCTCAAGGATGACTCAGCCTTCCATCCTTCTGAGGTCAATAAAATGAAGAGCCAGATCATTGGGGGCAATATGCTGACTCGAAACTGCTTAGAGAGGGGGGTAAAGCTTTGTGAAGCGGTATATAAGTCTAAGTGCTATTGCTATTAGCAAGAAGGCCCTACCATTGGACAAAGGAGTGTTTGAGCTCAGATTGTACAAGCTGAGGGAGGCTGCGACATATTTCCCTGAACACTTTCACAACTTTAGAGCAACTAATTTAAGAAAGAAGGGAGCAAAACAGAACAAGCTTCTCGGCTGGTTGCCAGATCAGCACTGCATTACTTCAGAGGACCACTAGATGGAAGGGATGTATTCACCGAGTAGCTCACCATTCTGCTGCCATCTTGGGGAATTGCAGCCCAGAAATGGTAGCACTAAATAACCTGTGAACTACTTTATGCAGGAAGTTGATTCATGTTTTTAGTTGATTTCCTTGATCGATGTTACTGTTTCTGTGATCAAATGCAAGGAGAGGGCTCTCATTCAGCCCAATTCCTAGTAAAGAAGATAGGAACGGACCTGTCAATGACAAAGTATCCCTCGTTTTGCTACTTTTGAGACTGGGTGGAATAGCCCCATTCTTAACTAAGTGAAATGGGACTCAGTATTAGCTACTTAAAAATTTTCTCTCCCTCATCAAGAAGAGATATCCTTGAATCCTTTTCTGGGCAACAATCTGGAAATGGTTTGGCATTTTGATTTCCCAAGAGCCTGCATCCCTCAGATTTCCTGGTGGCCTCCCATCCAGAGATTCATGAGGTCCAATCAGCCATGGAGCTGGCACTGCTATGGCCTTTCAGCACATACCTGGATGTACACAACTGGAAACTATGGAGACAAAAAAAAAAGCACAAGAAAATCAGAGATACCAAGGAATAAAAATGAGGATAAAGAAAAAAAGTAGAAAAAAGGGACATGGGAGATTCTTTTATGTCGCATTATGGTTTGGATGTGTATTTATTTGTATCTTGCCTTACCTCATGGGACTACTCTTGGAATTCCCACATACATACCCATAACAACCACCTTGTGAGGTTGGTTGGTTGACAGTGCCTAGCCACAAGGTCACCCAGCCAGTTTTCATGACTAAGAGTAGATTTAAGCTCAGCACTAAGCCTTCAATTACTCCATGAGTCTTCACTTAGGAGTATCTCCACACACACTTAGTTCAATGTTATATGTGAGGAGGGAGGGGTCCGTACAATTCCCCTCCGGGAAGAGCATGAATTGAATGTTTTCTCATGGAGATGCCATTCATCTCTGTCTGTCTTAATACCCCCCCACACACACAAATTTACCTCCTCCTTCATGGGATGTAAATCTTTATCCATAGAGATGATGCGAAACTTAACTGCAAAAGACAGAGGGAGAATATGTGGGAAAAGTAGCCACTGAATATAGAAACATTAAAATATAGAAGGGATCTTGGAGATCATTTACTGTAGTCCAGTGTTTTCTTGTACTTGAGAATTTAAAATGTGTGGACTTCTGCTCCCAGAATTCCCCGGCCAGCCATAGGGTCTTTCCAGAAGATTCCATGCTGGCTGTTGAATTCTGGGAACTGAAGTCTAAAGATCTTCAAGCTGCTCCAGTTGAAAAACACTAATTTGATCCCTGCCCAGAGCAGTAATACACTGTTGCAGCATTCCTGATTGGTTTTGTTTTGTTTAAATTCTTCCATTAATCCTTCCTCCTGGGTAGTCAATCCCATCCAGCTCCATTAAGACTTTTTTTTCTGATGCACAATCATAATGTACCTTTCTGACATTTAAACCATTGTTTTGTGTCTCCTAGAAAGACACCCCCCCCCCAAATTGAGCAGCTAAGAGATACATGATGACCGCTGTCAGACCTCCACATAGTCTTCTCTACACTGAGGTACGAGCATACTCACTATCTCCAGTCATTTATCATAGATCTTTTTATCCCCCTTCCCTTTGGTTGCCCTCCTCTGGAGACATTCTGGTTAGTCTGTTTTCACTGATGAAATGCAGGGTCCAGTCAACTGGGGAAGAACAACGAGGACTCCTGACATCGAAGAAGTCACGTGGTTATGCTTATCCTGCTTCTATTCCACTCGGTAGATGGTGTTGGAAAATGATTACAGGGCATCTCCAGATTACATATAGGTAGTCCTCAACTTACGATCACAATTGAGCCCAAAATTTATGTTGAGTGAGACGTTTGTTAAGTGACATTTGCCCCATTTTACAACCTTTCTTTCCTAGGTTGTTAAATGAACCACTGCAATTGATAAGTTAGGGTTAGGGTTGGTTGTTAAGTGAATCTGACTCTTCCCGATTGACTTCGCTCTTCAGAAAGTCTCAAGAAATGATCACATCCCTTTGGGACACAAAGTGCAATTTTCATAAATATGAGTCAGTTATCAAGCATCTAAATTTTGATTATGTGACTTCCAGTGGCATCTTCTTCGCTGATGGACCGAAGACTGCGATTGTGTGTGGCTTCGATATGTGCTCTCTTGTTGGAGGGCTCTGAACATCTGTTTTGGGGGGACAAAATCACCCTGTAGGGGTCTTGAAGAATGGGGAGACCGCCAGCTGGGTCGAGGGGAGCTGCATTTCCCCTCCCTGGCTAGGCATACTCCCCTCTGAAGAGGGGCTATAGCAGTAGTCAAATATGGCCACCCCGAAGAAGAAGAGCTAACCAGGACAAAGATTGTGATGGAGCAGTGAAGAAGAGGACAGCGTGAAAACCAGGCTAATCAGGCACAACTTCTGGAAATAAAGGTACCCCGGAATTAAGATCTTAAGAAATTTCTAAGAAAGATAGTAAAAGCAACGACCAGAGAAAATGAAAAAAAAAAAAATTGACGGCTGAAAGTGGCTTTGAACTTTGAAAGGAGGAAGTCAAAAAAAAAAGATTTGTTTAAACTGGATAATATATGATTTTGTCACTAAATAGGCTTAATCAAAGCTGAACTTGGATGTGCAGAAATTACTCTGGAATTGTTTAGTGATCTTGACATAAACTTAAATTTATGGATATTGGACTATTTGATCAACCTGGGAAAAACTTAAAGAGGAATTAATAAGAGCTGGTTATTGGAAATAAATATCAAAGACGCTGGTCGAATTACACTACTGGATAATTAACCTAAAGACTAAAGAAAGAGATAAAGAAAATATAAGAGAAGTGTTTAAAAATGGTAGAACTTCTTTTGGGGGTTAAAATTGGAACTAAGAAATGTAAAAAGAAATGCTACATGAAAGAGGTGAGTCGTGCTGTCTTGCCTTACAATCATTAGAAATGACAATCCTGGAGTATGAAGAACAACAAGGAGTGCCAGAAGGGGAGGAGCTGATCAAAGAAGGGGACAGCTCTAATGAACAATTGGAGAACGAACATCAAAGTGAAGGAGGGAAAAATGGGATTAAAAACTTGGAGATCTGAGGAGGCTATTAAAAAGAGGAATGTTTTGAAAACCAAAAAGGACCAGGAAGAGGGCGTTGCTGGCGTCGCGATGATACGGCATGCAATCTCGGAGGTCTGAGATGGCAGCCGATATCTTTGCCCCTAGACGGTCCAAATGGATCTAAACCATCCCGAAGAGACGGCAATAGTGAAGAGCGCATCCTGTAGATCCCAGGGATACCACAAAGTCCCTGGTTGATCCAGGAGAAGCTCTTTTTGCCAGCGGCAGAGAGGCAGCCATTAAAGCTGCTGAAGTTGGGACAGCTCCGAAACGGAAGAGAGCAGAAAGAGAAAGTGTGCCGGTTTGGTGAGAACACCTTGCGACTTGCTTAACAATCACCTGGCTTAGCAATGGAAATTCTAAAATTTATTTTAAAAAATCTGTAAAAATTGTAACAATAAAGTTTTGGAAGGGTTAGAAAAACAAGAATTTTAGGAGCTCCCCCGCAGCCTCCCCCAAAAAACACACTTTTTAAAAGAACCTTAATCTTAAAACGGAGCCATGTGTAAAGTGAGGGCTTGGGAAGCAGAGCCAGTGATCCTGGAGCCAGCCTTTTCAAAATGCTAGTCCTCAGTGTCCATCTGTCAACAGAACCTTATTTTAATGGCGTATGGATGCAAGTATGTTTTGGGCATAGTATGTATCCCAGCCTTCTTGCAGTGACTTCAGGATTGGAGTCACTCTTTACCTTCTTGTCCTGCTCTGTAGATTGTTTTGTCTGCCTGGATGAAAACCAGATGCTTTGGTTTCTCGATTCGCACTCTTTTGCGGTTCTCGAAACTCTGGGTCAAGCCATTTCCAGTCAACTCAAGAATGGCTTCTGATGGAGGAGAAATGTTGCTCCGCCTGGTAATCTGCAGGATGAAAAGAGACAAAATCAAATGGTTTGAGAGGTATCGTTATCATGATGATCTATTGCTTTGTGTGTGCATTATGCTGAATGCAACAACCTAAGGGGGAGAGGGAGGGAGAGCAAGAAAGAGACTTACCTGAAAAGGAATACATTGAAATACATCTTTTTCTTTTACCGTCACTTGATTCAGGACCTCGGAGTCCAACAAGAGGGTCAAGTTGAGTATTTCGTTCAGATTGTTTATCTGGACACAGAAGTTCTCAGTGGTCTCCATGTAGATTATGCTGGGTACTACTGCCACATATCGCCTTGAAAAGAGGGGCAGGGGCTCATATTAGGAAATATGCAGAGCAAATACAAAAGGGTTTCCTGAGATTTGGCTCTGTGTGGGTGGAGATAAATCTATGTCAAAGGGTTGAATCATGGACACTGGACCATCTTTGTTAATCTGAAGCATTTTGCTGCTCATCCAAGCAACTTTATCAGTCAGGGCAAAATTAGTCAGGAAGAGTCAGAGTTGTTGTATTTGTACCAATTTTTACCACACTAACTTCAGGGGTTTCTTCCCAAAATTGGCTGCAATCTGGGGAGAAGCCCTTGGAGTTGGTGTAGTGAGAGTTGGTACCTTCCAATGACTCTCTGACTCTGCCTAGCTAATTTTGCTCTGACTGATGAAGTTGCCTAACTCTAACCCTTTGGCCTGGAATAGTGAGTCTTCATCAATACAAATCTATAAAGCAACCTTGGCATCTTTAAGGTGGATGGATTTCATCTCCCATGCTCACTGGGGAATCACAGCATAACAGAATTGGAAGGGACCTTGGAGATCATCTAGTCCAACCCACTACTCGAGCAGGAGACCTATACCATTTATGACAGGTGGCTGTCCAGTCTCTTGAAAGCTTCCAGCGATGAAGCTCCCACAACTTCTGAAAGCAAGCTGTTCCATTGGTTGATTGTTCTCACTGTCAGAAAGTTTCTCCTTATTTCCAGGCTAAATCTCTCCTTGTTCAGTTTCCATCCGTTATTCCTTGTCTGGCCTTCAGGCGCTTTAGAAAATAGCTTGACCCTCTCCTCCCTGTGGCAGCCCCTCAAATATTGGAAGACCGCTATCATGTCTGCCCTGGTCCTTCTCTTTACTAGACTAGCCAGGCCCAGTTCCTGCAACCGTTCGTTCTATGTTTTAGCCTCCAGTCCCCTAATCATCTTTCTTGTTCTTCTCTGCACTCTTTCTGGAGTCTCAATATATTTTTATAGTGTGGTGACCAAATCTGGAGGCAGGATTCTAGGTGTGGTCTTACTAAGGCTTTATAGAGTGGTATTAGTACTTCATCCTGATCAGTGGTGGGATTCAAAATTTTTACTACTGGTTCTGTGAACGTGGCTTGGTGGGTGTGGCAGGGGAGGGACACTGTAAAATCTCCAGTCAGAGGTGGTATTTGCCGGTTCTATGAACTACTCAAAATTTCCGCTACCGGTTCTCCAGAACTGGTCAGAACCTGCTGAATACCACCTCTGATCCTGATTCAGTCTCTCTGTTAATGCAATTTAGGATTGCATTGGCTTTTTTTGGCTGTTGCCACACACTACTAGCTCAATATTTAGAATAGAATAGAATGGCAGTGTTGAAAGGGACCTTGGAGATCTTCTAGTCCAACCCCTTCCTAGACAGGAAACCTTACATCATTTCAGACAAATGGTTATCAACCATCTTTTTAATTTATTTGATTGTCCACTAAGACTCCAATCCCTTTCACAGTTACTGCTACTAAGCCAGGTTTCACCTAATTTGTATGTGTACTTTTGGTTTTTCCTGCCTAACTTAAGACTTTACCTTTCTCTACAGTGAATTTCATTTTGTTAGATAGGACCCAGTATTCAAGTCTGTCGAGATTCATCTGGCTCCTTAGTCTATCAAACAGGATGTTAACTATTTCTGGCAGCTTACTATCATCTGCAAATTTGATGAGTTCTAGTCTTCTATTCCTTCATCTAAGTCATTTATGAAGATATTGAGGAGTACCGGCCCTAAGATGGAACCTTATGGTACAATACTGCTTACTTCCCTCCATGTAGACGTCGTACCATTAAGGACTACATATATGCAAGCTATATACAGTGTGTGCGTATGTGTGTAATGTGTATATGTGCGTTATGTATGTGTATCAGAAATATATATACTTTCTTTTGAGGGCTGGCAACAGAATTTCATTTTTAATGTGGGCCAGTGTGCTCACAAACATGAGTGTGTGTGTTTTTGTGTATGTATGTGTACCTGTGTTTCACTGAAAATAAGATCGGATCTTATATTAATTTTTGCTCCAAAAGACACATTAGGGCTTATTTTCTGGTTATGGTGTATTTTCGGGAAAATGTGGTACTAAATGTGTCAGTCTGGCTAATTAACTTAACTAGGGCATTCCAACGGCTGGCTGGCTCCAGGAGGAGGAGAAAGTTGTTACCAGGCAACCAGCTAGGATCCAGATTGGACAATATGATTTATTGTTTTGAGAAGACTGGAAAGTTTTTCTTTTAAGGTTGTGAAAAGCCTAGGAAGATTCAGAACTGGCTATTCACCAGTTTGTACCAGGATGGTATTTCCCCAAAAAACTGTTCTTTGAGGAATTGAATTGCTCAGAGTTCTGATTTGCGATGGCTATAATTCCTGGAATGCTGACACTCACACTGTCAGTGAAAAAAAGGATTTGAGCATTGCAAAAAGTAATGGCAGAAGGAGATAGGCCAGCCTGATCCAGGCCAAAGCAATCTCTTGCATAGATCAGGAAGGAAAACAAAAGGAGAGACAGTTTGAACTAGTTAGGATTAATTCCTGGGTCAAAATGGTTATTGAAATTGTTAATTGCAACCACACTATGAAGATCACAAGTCAATCCAAGAACTTGGGAGAAGTCTAGGATTATTTTATGTTATTTTTACTTATTTATCTTTCACATTTCTGAACCACCCATCTCCCTCAAAGAGTATATCCTGTACATTACGCTCCAAAGTTGCATTGCATTTGATGGGGTCCCTTCTCAGTTAAATAAGGTGGGTATCCCTCCACTTCCTAATGCCATCTCAGTGTTCAAAGCCAAAATAAAAACTAATCTCTCAGATGTCCCAAAGGTGCTCTCTCTCTCTATATATATATCTGAGAAGCACAGAGCTGAAGACACAAGTCTGAAGATGATGAATGAGACTTCATCGAAACGTTGCCTAGATACTTCCAATCTTACATGGGAGAAAACCCGAATAACCAAAGATCCACACAAACACACACACACACACACAGATAGATAGATAGATATAGATATAGATATAGATAGATATAGGTATATATAGATAGATAGATAATGATGTGGGAAAATACCCGAACAAAGCTGAATACTATATATATATATATATATATGTGTGTGTGTGTGTGTGTGTGTTGTGTGTGTGTGTGTGTGTGTGTTTTCTGAGGTTCTCGCGGGTATTTGTATGTGGATCTTTGGTTGTTCAGGTTTTCTCCCACGTAATATTCAAAGTATCTAGGCAACATTTCGATGAAGTCTCATTCATCATCTTCAGGCTTCTGTCTTCGGCTCTGTGCTTCTCAGAGTGATGTGAGATTGCAGCTGCCTCTTCCTTTTAACTGCTAGTGGGGGTGTAACTTGATTGGGTGGGGGCTTGGCTGTGTTCTGATTGGGTGGGGGTGTGTTCTCATTGGTAGGGGGTTTGGCTGTGTTCTGATTGGTTGGGGGGGGGGGTTGGCCGTGTTCTGATTGGCTGGAGGCGTGTTCTGTTCAGGTGGGGACTTGGTTGTGCTCAGGTTAGTCTTAGTTGCTGGGGTATTTGAGTTGGTGAGCTGTGATCTTGCTGTTTGGCTTCGAGTTCGTGGTCGTGCTGCATCTTCATAGTGGGTGTCGGTTTGCTTCATGTATGGCTTGGAGGGGGTTGAAGTGGGTAGAACAACCAAAGATCCACATACAAATACCCGCGAGAACCTCAGAAAACACACACACACACACACACACACACACATATATATATATCGCATTCAGGTTTGTTCGGGTATTTTCCCACGTCATTATAGTTGTGCTTTTAAAGTTGTAGCGACCTTTCGGCAGAATCTCATCTGTTTTCTCATCAGAATTTATTTGATTTGTCAATTGTTTACAAGATAATAAGTATGTGTATACATAGTTATGAATACATGAAATGGGTACATATAAGAAAAATAAAAGAAACAATAGGACAGGGACAGGAGGCACGTTGGTGTGCTTATGCACGCCCCCTAGAGACCTCTTAGGAAAGGGGTGAGGTCAATATAGACAGTCTAAGGTTAAAGTTTTTGGGGTTTGAGGAAGAAACTACAGAGTCAGGTAGAGTATTCCAGACATTGACCACTCTGTTGCTGAAGTCGTATTTCCTGCAATCAAGTTTGGTGTGGTTAACCTTGAGTTTGTATCTATTATGTGTTCTTGTGTTGTTATGGTTGAAGCTGAAGTATTCATTGACAGGTAGGACGTTGCAATGTATGATTTTATATACCATACTTAGATCAGACTGAAGAAGGCGTAATTCAAGGTTTTCTCTGTTCTAGAATTTCAAGTCTGGTGGAATAAGGTATTCTACAAAGAGTAGAGGAGTGGAGAACTCTTCTTGTGAAATATTTCTGGACTTTCTCAACTGTCCTAATATCAGATACGTAATGTGGGTTCCAGACTGATGAGCTGTATTCGAGTATTGGTCTAGCAAATGTTTTGTATGCTCTAGTTAATAGTGTGATATTACCAGAGAAAAAGCTACGTAGGATTAGGTTAACAACTCTTAATGCCTTTTTGGCTATGTAGTTACAGTGGGCTCTAGCACTTAGATCATTAGAGTATTCCAAGGTCCTTTACAAAGCTTGGATCATCAACAAGATCTTGACTATTCAGCTTGTATTTTATTTTCTGATTTTTTTTGCCAATATGTAAGACAGAGCATTTATTTGTTGAGATTTGAAGTTGCCATTTGTTTGACCATTCCGATACATAGTCAAGATCTTTTTGAAGGGTAGCAGTATTGTCTGTGGTATTGAACAGCTTTACATCATCAGCTAAAAGAACGCAGTTGCTCTTAATATGATCGCAGAGGTCATTTATGTAGAGCGTGAAGAGAGTTGGTCCTAGAACACTGCCTTGGGGGACACCACTATTGCTGTCTCCCCCACTCCCCCCAGTCCCACCACCAAATATCTCTGAAGCATCACTGCTCCTCAAGTTTCCCTTTGAAAATCCTGGACTGAGAGATGCTCAGTTTAAAAATAAAACAGAGCAGAGTTTCAAGCCTAAATCTTTCCCAGCCAAAGAAGACAGAAAGAGAAGTAGCCAGCAGAAAGCAACTTACAGTTGTGGGGTGGTAGCAGCCACATTGATCCTGAGAAGGACGGACAGTAGAAGGAGAAGGAAGAGGTTTTTTCCACATTGGCAGCTTTCCCCCATAATATTGAGGAAGAGGCTGGCTGCGGAGCTGAGCTGAAAAGTACGAGCTGTTCCCTCTTCAGGTCTGGTTGCTGACTGCCTCTCTGCAACCAGTCTGTGTGGAAGAAGAGGTAAAACCCAGAAATGGGGTCAGTTTTTATTTCAGCCCAACAGTGGATCCTTGCCAGCGTTCAAGGCCAAAAGGGTGGAGGCAGAAACAACACAATAAGTAAAATGTAGTCCTTCGCTTAACGCAGTTAAGTACAATAACAGAGTTGGAAGGGACCTTGGAGGTCTTCTAGTCCAACCTCCTGCTCAGATAGGAAACCTCATGCCACTTCAGACAAATTATTGTACAATCTCTTCTGAAAAACTTCCAGTGTTGGAGCATTCACAACTTCTGGAGGGAAGCTATTCCACTGAATAATGAATTGTTCCGACTGCCAAGAAATTCTCCCTGACTTCTAGGTTACTTCTGTCCTTGATTTGTTTCCATCCATTGCTGCTTCTCCTGCCTTCAGGTGCTTTGGAGAATAGGTTGACCCCCTCTCTTATTGGTGACAACCCTGAGATATTGGAAGAGTGCTATCATGTCACCCTGAGTCCTTCTTTTCATCAGACTACACTTACCCAATTCCAGCAACTCTTCTTTTTATGTTTCAGCCTCCAGTCTCCTAATCATCTTTGTTGCTCTTCTCTGCACTCTTTCTAGAATCTCGACATCTTTTTTTACATCATGGCAACCAAATCTGGATGCATATTCCAAGTGTGGTCTTACCAAGGCATTACAAAGTGGTATTAACGCTTAACATGATCTTGATTCTATCCCTCTGTTAATGCAGCCTAGGACTGTGTTGGCTTTTTTGGCAGTTGTCACATACTGCTGGCTCATATTTAATGAATGTCCACTAGGACTAAATTATTCCACTAGGACTAAATCCATAGTTTCCTTAGCCATTCATCTAAAGATTTAGCCTCCAGATCCCTTATCATCTTTGTTGATGTTCTCTGCACGCTTTGTAGGGCCTCCGCCCCTATTTTGTATCGCGGTGATGAAAACTCGATGCAGTATTCCAAGAGTGGTCTCACTAGGGTCTCACTTTAAAGCAATGCTATCACTTCTTGCAATCTTGATATTATCTCTCTGTTAATGCAGTCTAGGACTGTGTTGGCTTTTTTTGGCAGCTGCAGCACACTGCTGGCTCATATTTAAGTGACTGTCCACTAGGGCTCCAAGATCGCTCTCACAATTCCTACTAGTGATCGTTCAAAATTACAAGGGCACTGACTTACGACCATTTGTTCGCACCTACACCATTGCTGCATCCCGATGGTCACGTGATCAAAATCCAGACGCTTTGCAACTGGTTCCTATTTATGATGGTTTCAGTGTCCTGGGATCATGTGATCAACTTTTGCAACCTTCTGACAAGCAAAGTCAATGGCTATGTTGGCTCTTTCTAAAATCTACAATGATTTCCTTTGTTTTATTAAGATTTAGAACCAGGTAAAATACTTAGAAGACTTGCAACTTTGCAATTTTACCTTGTCCTACATGCCTTGTTCTTATGTAATTTAGCAAACTGGTTAACATGCAGAATTTTCTTTGTCTGAATGTCGATTGTTCCCAGTTTTTCCTTCTCATGTTAACCCACTCTTTTAATTATTATACACTTATTTGTAGGGACTTCTATAGTCTTTGATTAAAGGTCATTTAAATCAATGATTGTGGAAACTCAAACTCAGAGGAACAGCTGCAATTATAACATTCTTGAAATGGGTTTAGAGCAGGCTTGTCCAACCTTTCACCTTCCCAGGGCCACATTAGAAGATGAAAATTTGGTTTGGGCCGCACATAAGATAAAATAACAGTAACAATACCTGATCATCCAAAAAAAACCATAGAAAACATTTTTTTCATAAGATATCATAAAAAATAGTCAACCAGGGAGAAAGGAACGGCGGGTGGGGGGGAAGAAAGCTCGCCCGCCTCATGTCTACCTCTCCTCCTGCAAATGGCCCGGCTGGATGCGGCAGGACTGGAAGGCGAGGACCAGGAGGCTCAGTGCCTGTTTGTCCGGAATGTTCTCCTGCTTGAAAAGGGGGATGGACTAGAAGACCTCCAAAGTCCCTTACAATTCTGTTATTCGGTTATTCTACAGAGTAGAATATATATTCAGACTTCCAAGATACTTTAATATAGCCTTACAATAAAGTAGAATTAGTTCATCTAGTTGTGTTTCCAGTCTTCTTTACTCAGGATTGTGGGAAGAAATATCAACCTGGTTCTGTTCCAAGCTGAGAGAAAGACACTAGAAACATGGAGGCTGATTGGAAAGATGATTTAATAAGGAAGCAGAACCACATGTGATTCTGGGCAGCTGACAAAATGGAGTTAAGAATAGTGGGAGTAATAGTTTCTTTGGGCTTTGCACTTGAGCTTCCTGTTCCTGTGCAAGAACATGTATTCTATTCGCTGTTGTCAGATTCCTATGGGGTCATGTAGGGGTTATATAGGGGTCATAACTGGCTCTATAGGCAAAGAGAAAATACAAATCCTGGGTGCTTGTCAGCCTCTGGCTTATTGTTTCTCTGAGCTCCCAGGTGAAGTTTGGACTGCTCTGGAATGGTGCAATGAATGGGCTTGTGTTCTGAAAGGGTCTTGGGCCATTCCTATTGTGGCTTAATGGCTTTTGTCCTGTTTTGGCTATTGGGTGAGGGTATTTGCTTATGAATAGAGCTATCTAGATACTTGCCTTCTTTCAGTAAGCTCTTGATCTCTTAAGTGCTGACATCTGCTGTGCGCTATTAAGAAAATATAGGGACTGCTTTCTGCCTCTAAAAACATATTTCTCCATTTTTCATTTAGGAAAATATAATATTCTGCTTCTTAATATTTCCCAAAATGTTTCATTCTTCTGGGAGGAGGGGCCTTCCCACAGGAATCATAACCATTAAATAACCCATTCTTGAGAAGCAGCCAAAAGCAGATTAACAATAGGAAGGAACGATCTGGAAGAACCTGAAAAGTCAGTATCTTGAAAGTCTTCTTGTTGCCCAGGGCAAAAATCCTTATACTATCTCAGACAATTTGTTGTTCAAACTTTTCTGGAAAATCTCCAGCAATGGACACCCACCACTCCAGGATACAAACTGTGTCATTGATTAATCATTCTCACTGTCAAGAAATTCCTTCTTAGTTCCGCAATGAATGTCCCTTTAGCAAACTTCCACCTCTTCCTTTTTGTCCTGCTTTCAGGTGCTGTGGATAAAAAATTAACCCTCTTCTCTGTGGGAGCCCTTTAAGGATTGGAAGACAGCTATCATGTTTCCCTCTAAGCCTAAGCCTTCATGAGCAATAGCGCTTAGACTTATATACTGCTTCACCGTGCTTTATAACCCTCTCTAAGTGGCTCACAGTCAGCCTCTTGCCCCCAACAATCTGGGTCCTCATTTTACCAACCTCGGAAGGATGGAAGGCTGAGTCAACCTTGAGCCAATAAGATTTGAACTGCTAAACTGCTGGCAGTGGAGTCAGCAGAAGTTACCTGCAATACTGTATTCTAATCAATGCGCGACCACCAGCTTCATTAGGCTAAATCTCCCTAGTTCCCTTAGCCATTCATCAAATGATTTAGCCTCCAGACCCATTATCTCTAACTCTACTCTGCACACTTTGTAGGGCCTCGACATTTATTTATTTATTTATTTATTTATTTATTCATTCTTGTATCGTGGTGAGCAAAACTTTATTTTGTTTGTTTGTCAAACATGTACAAGATAGCAAGTAGAGGTATGAACATAAACATGGACAAAGGAAGTAAGTTCAGCTAAATGGGGACAGTAAGACAGGGATGGTAGGCACACTGGTGTGCTTACACGTGCCCCCTTTACAGACCTATTAGGAATGGGGTGAGGTTCACGGTAGACAGTTTGAGGTTGACGCTGTGAGGGGCTGAGGCTGTAACAACGGAGTCAGATAGAATGTGACGCAGTGTTCAAAGTGTAGTCTCACTAGAGCAGTATAAAGTCGCACTATCCTTCCTTGTGATCTTGATACTTTCCCTCTGTTGAGCAGCCTTAGACCGCATTGGCTTTTTGGGAAGCTGCAGCACACTGTTGACTCCTAACTTGTGTTCCACCTAGAACACAGGTGGAAGATCTAGGACACCCAGATCCCTCCCAAGTACTGCTTCTTTTGTACCTGTGCATCCAATTTTTTCCTTCCTAAGCACAGGGGTGTACTTTTCTCACCACTGAATTCCATCTTATTGGAGAGGCTCAACACTTTTGAGTTTATCTCCCAAGATGTTAGCCATTTCTTTTCCCCGCCCAAAATTTGTTCTATTGTACTTTACTAATTTATTTGATTCTTTTTGTTAATTCTTATTGTTTTTATTGTTATTTTTTTGTTTTAAATACGATTTTACATTGTGTAAGCCGCCTTGAGTCACTATGGGCGAATAGGTGGCAATATAAATCAAATAAATAAACAAATAAATTTCCCCCAGCTTGGGGTCATTTGCAAATGTGATGAGTTCCCCTTCTATCTGCTCATCTAGATCATTTATGAAGAGGTTGAAGAATACTTAAGGTACCCCACTGACGCTCCTCTCCACACAGATGTAGGGCTACATATTGAGCGCAGTTAGTCAGCCAACTGCAAATCCATCTGCTGATGGTATTGTCTACCAGAAGTACCATCATCTTCTACCAATGGGAGAAGATGGCAAGACAGTGATGGGCAGCAGGAAGAAAACAGAACTGATATTTTATTTGAGTTTATATGCCCCTCTTTGTTTTTTTTTTCATCCTTGTCCTTTTTGTTTCTCAATGAGTCAGAAAGCTCTTTGTGCAGCCATGCTGGTCTTGTCTTGCGGTCTCTTGTTTATCTTTTTCTAGGCTGTTGGTTTTTTTGGGTGGGGAAACCTAAAGATTTCTCCTTGGCTTTGCATTCTGGCCAAGGAAACTTTGGCTCTTGTGAAAGACCGGGAGTTTTTGGAATGTAATTAATTGTTTGGTTGTTTCATCAGCCTTCCTCCGGATGGATCAGATAAAAGAAAAGATAACTGTGCTATGGCAAAAGAACAAAGTGTTTCAGGGGTAGTAGGTAAACAGCC